TGTTGCGGTGACTGGGGGGTGCCCGCGCCCCCCGCCTCAGGGCGCGGGGCCTGCGCGGGCCCAGCTCGCCGCTACGGGGGGAGCTTCCCCGCCAGCGGCGAGTGTTTAGTCTTACAGATGAGTAGTTGTGATACCTACAGAGCAAGGCACGTTTCTCTCTGCTTTAGAGACATCTGGAACTTTGTAAGTTTTTCCCCTTTCAGCTGTTTGATACATGTACGTTTGTTTCTTGTTACAGATGATCGAAACGCTTGTAACTACTGAAGCTCAAGAATTGTTGTACCAGCTCACAGCCCTGTTGGAACAGGAGTTAAGATGCCAGCCAAAGGCCTCTGGCCTGAGACTAATTGAATCTGCGCATGATAATGGTCTCCGAATGACTGCAAGGCTGCGAGACTTTGAAGTGAAAGATCTCCTCAGTTTAAGTCAGTTCTTTGGCTTCCATACAGAGACGTTTTCGTTAGCTGTGAATTTCTTAGATAGATTCTTGTCAAAAATGAAGGTACGGATTTTTAAAGTACAGGCTCTCAGTCATTAGCTTCTGCTCATTGCAGCCTTGTTCCTATTAGAGCATCTTGGCTTTAGATGACTAAAGGTTAAGCTCCTTGTGGAGATTCCAATTGTGCAAGAGCTAAAAAACAGCTTTCCCTGTTCAGATTTTACAGTTGTTGAGAAAGCTTTCCTCTGGAGAACAGAAGGAAGAAGGCATCAGTTTCAAATTAAGGGTACCCATAGGCTTGGAAATGCAGGCCGAATTAATGGATTATGTCAAGACAAATTGTTTGCCTGTTGCATATATACAAGAACACCTTAAATTACTTATTCATTGCTGTTTCATCTAACCCATAAACGTTGTCTATATCAAGAAGTTTGATGGTGTTCAGCACTCAGAGTCTGGTAAAACATTTAGTTAGCTCTCCATTCTACCATGCATCTGTGGCATGCTGACCTGGGTTGTTTTTAATAGTCTAACGAGATGGGATTACCACTGCACTATTTGGTCAAGAACAAAAGCTTGTTTTCCTTGTGTGTTAAAACAAAAATGAGAAAGCTAGATGGAGTGGATAGGGAAATGATGATTTGTAAGCCTTCTGAATCCAAAATAAGCAGTAAAAGTAGGGACTGTAATGCCTATATAAGTCAGGTTTTATATATGAATGTGTGTGTGTGTGTATATATATATGTAGAAAAGAGTTAAAAACTGCTTTTTTAATGTAAATCGGTACATACAACACTAAATCATAAAAGCTTCTGATTAGGCCATTATAGAACCTCATTATATATAGAACCAGCTCTGCCTCAATCAAAACACATTGTTCTGCAGTCTTGCTTTTTAAACGAATGTGACCAGAATTTGTAGTTTAACAGTCCTCTCATTTAGTTCAGTTAAAAATGTAACTAGGTAAAAAACTGATGTCTTGATCTTCAAAAAGCAGAACAACCCTCCTGGTCGCCCATAATTTTTTCATGAATTACACTGGCACCTATATAGTTTGGTGCTTATATTTTGAAATGGCCAGTCAAAGGCCTTTCTCTCTGAAAGTAACAATTTACTTTTCTTTATAGGTACAGCCTAAACACTTGGGCTGTGTTGGACTCAGCTGCTTCTACTTGGCTGTGAAGGCATCAGAAGAAGAGAGGAATGTTCCCTTAGCCACCGACTTAATTCGAATAAGCCAGTATAGGTTCACTGTTTCTGATATGATGAGAATGGAGAAAATCATATTGGAGAAGCTATCTTGGAAAGTCAAAGCTACAACAGCCTTCCAATTTCTTCAACTATATCATTCACTCATTCATGAGAATTTAAGCTGTGAAAGGTAAAATATGTGATACTTAATTTACTATGACTGCATATGATCAAGAAGTCTATGTAGAAAAGTAGGGGAATTACTTGAGTAATTGGCCTTTCTATACTTAAAAGACTCACAACATTTTCCCCCTTATTGGTAAATATCATCATGTGAATATCTGTGGTTTGTTATTGTTTTAATTTTAAATGTTATTTGTATAAATTGAAGAGTATTGCTCTCTGAGCCAAAACCAAAACTTGCTCAGTAATGATGGTATAATAAATCTCTGCTTATGCTGCAGTAAGTATTGCATGATTGGAAAGATTTCAAGATCTAGCTTAGAGATTCCTTTTGCATGTAAGCACTGAAATTTCTTGTTGGTAAGCCTATTTTGACAGTGTGACTCTCCTCAACATAACACAAGATTTATTTTTGGCATTGGGACTACCAAAACTGAACATCAGTTTGACTGTAACCCTAGAACCTGTGGGAGAAATGAGGCCTTTGTTTAGATAATGAATATTCTTGCTGCTTCTGAGTTCCCAGGGTGGTGTTGTCTTGATCAGGCTTGTGTTCTTCTACAGTCACTCATCTGTTTTTATTGTAGGAGAAAATACCTTAATTTTGAGAGACTTGAGACCCAGCTGAAGGCATGTCACTGCAGAATCATGTTTTCTAAAGCAAAGGTAAATGTCTTGAAAACTTGGAAGACAGTGAGACTACTGAACCTTGACAAAGCAGTGTTTAAAAACATTTTCTCTCTCTCCAGCCTTCTGTCTTGGCACTGTCTGTTATGGCACTCGAGATAGAAGAACAAAAACTACTGGAGTTGACAGAGGCATTGGAATTTCTGCAGTTGTATTCCAAGGTATATATGGATAAAGTTGTAGGGGAGGAAGGAAGAAAAGTGTGGGGAAGGGAGAGGTCCATTGCCATACTGGTTTCTTTTGTGGCTGCTTTGGGTATTTTTTTTCCATTTCACTTGGGATCTTTGGCTTCTATCTTAGGTGAAGAAGGTGAAAGTACATGTATGAAATAGGGATTTAATGAGTAATTAACATACGAGATTCTGTCTTGCTATTTAGATAAACAACAGAGATTTGACCTTCTGGAAGGAACTGGTGTTAAAGTGCCTTACAGAATATTCATCAAGCAAGTGTTCCAAACCAAATGTCCAGAAACTAAAATGGATTGTGTCTGGACGTACAGCACGGCAGCTTAAACACAGCTACTACAGAATAACACACCTTCCTACAATTCCAGAGACCAGCTCATAAAAGGTAACTCCTTGTAAAATCAACTTCTGATGCTGTAGAAGTACTTAGCTGTTAACTACCTCCAAGTTTCTTATTCCATATAGATAACCTCTTGAAGACGTGTAATGTAAGCATAGTAGGCCGGTCAGAGAGGCTGGTCTGTTCTCGTGTTCATGCTTGAGCTGGTGCTGTACCTAAAGAAATGACCACTTACTATATGAATGCTGGAGAAAGAACTGATTCTTTGGTGTGCTGTAGGAGCACAAATATGTTCTACAGACATCAGGACCTCATTCAAATTAAAATGTGGAGTAAAACTGGTAAAAAGGCAGAGGAAAAACTTGGCTTGCTCCTATCCTAAAAAGAATTGGCTGAGAGGAACAGTTGCCTGTTAGAATGAGTTTCTTGTAATCGTTCACTTAAACCACTTAAAAGATAGTTTTATATGTTTTTACTTGCGCAACTATCTGTTCAGTGAAGTCTAAAAGCTATAATTCAGTTACATTACTGTTTTTTTACTCTGTAGAAATTGTGAACTACTTCTTTATCTAGCCTTTAATTCCAAAGGCTATGTGTAACAGCTGTCTTGCTCTTGTTATATACAAGTCTGATGCTTTGTTTGGCTCCTGTAGAAAGGCCTGCAGTTGACAGTTTTGTTTGGGGTTTTTTATTTACAGGAGTACAATAAAATGAGGAGAAGAACCATCCTGTGATCTTGTCACCAGATACATGAATATTTGAGAAGCAAAGTCTGAAACATGAAGAACTCAACTCATGGAAAGAACATGTAACATTTCAAACTGAAGATCCTTCCAGGAAATATGTTCTTTTCATGATGATTAAAACAATAATAAGTGTCAGTTTTCAGCCTTATTTGTTAGGCTGTTTACTGTTCAGTAAACTACAACAATACCAATACAAGGAATTTTAACACCTGATAGTTTTTAGAGCAGCTTGTGTAGTCTAACATTGGTTTACTGTAACTGCAGGTGCTCAATTATATATTTAATTTTTAAAATCTCATTCACTTTCCAAAGATGATGTGACAGTAGGGAAACATAGTGTGCAGCAGCATAGTGCTGCAGTGTCTCAAACTAAGGACTAATCCCGCTCAGTACTGATGACATTAGCAAATGCCTGTCAGGCCACCTGACAAGCTCTTTGGGCAGTGTCATGTGTCCACATGTTCCTGCTGGGCAAGGCACGGGCCTTCTACCAGACACATTAAAAACTAAGCTAAGTGATAACCACTGAACATGTCAAGTAACTAGAGCAGAAGCAAAGAGAAACCTTATTTCATTGCCTTATAAAAAGTAGTCACTAATACGGCATCAGTAACTTCAGTACTTTAGGAGAGGTGTAGTTTACAGAGATAAAGAATTATTTTATAGAGTGTAAAAACTTCCCGATACCTAATGAAGGTTGAAGGAAAGTACAGGGTCACCTGCCCCAAGTCTGACCTGTTTTCCAAAGTTTCACTGTACAGGAGGTTAATGCTGATGCTGACCAGGTGCATTTTTACAGGCACTGTAGGAGCAGGGCTATTGGCCCATCCAGGCATGTCTGTAAGAGCAATCTAGTTGAGAAATACTAAAGCCTGCTTCAACTCTGATCTTGTGAATGGTAAGCTTTGTAAAATAGTTTTTCTGAAGACCAGATCAGCACTTAAAGCTTATGCTTCTGGTGCTAACAAGGAAGTAAGTAGTAAGAATGTATTACTATATGTAAGGTGAATCAGGATGTTGGGGGAATGTTGCTAATGTCCTCTTGAATTCTGCATCACGGTGCAGCAGAGGCTGTTGGCAATGGGCTGGTAATGCCTGGTTGCCAGTATGAACTGACTTGGGAGGAGAGATCAGAATGTTCTGAATATAGTGGGGGCTTGGTTGTTAGCCAACCCCTCCTTCCCCTTCATGCAATACCAGAGGGGGAAACCATTCTTTGCGTATCTCAAACTGGTTAAACCTTTCACAGAAGAGTTCATACCAAAGCTCTATACTGGACAAATCAAGCCTTCTCGTGAGCTCCTGGGAGTGATTGCACTGCGTAGTGTAACTGGGGTTTGCATCTGCCATTATGCTCTCTGCATGGTGCATGCCCGTGAAAAGTATACAGCTGATTTGGACAAAGGTGTGGTCAGCCTACTGGGCGAGGGAGAAGATGCAATGTGCAATTATAACTGTTGTGTCCCACTAAGATATGTACCTTTCAATTAAACATTGAAACGTGCTTAACAATTAACTGTTCTCCTGTTTGTTTTTCTATTAAGTAACTTATATCTGAACAGTACGTGGAAAACTTCTAAGCAGGAGATAAAAGATTATAGAGATTGTTTTCAAATTTATGTTTTCTGAAGAGGTTGAAGCTGTGCGGGCAAGGCTAAAGAACCAACAGGAAAAAACTCAGGGAGCCTAATAAAAATTATTTCAACTTGGCCCATGATTATTCGAAATCCTCTGAGATGTGAAAGTGTCAAGATAGAAAAAATTGACTTTAGCTCAGGCTGTTCAAATTTGACATCATTTATTTGTCTAGCTGACTTCCATTATTTATCTAATAGTACATATTACCTCTTTCTACACGTGGATGAAGAGAATCTAGCACTCAGATTTGACTTTTTGCACTGATGTGAGCATCCTAACAACTAGTTAAAGTTTAGCTATACATTTCTGTGCTTGACTCAAACTCTGGTCCTTTTGAGAGCGAGCAATGCTGGGGCATTACTCTGAGCTCATCTTGAATCAGATGCATGAAAAAATGCCAGTAGCCTGTCCTCCACTCGTTTACATGGCTGAGTAACACTGAGTGAGTGCACAGGATTGTTTCTGATAACATCGGTTGCTCTAGCTACTCTTATATCCAAATTTATGCATCTGCCAAATACCTGTTACTGTTTGTCTAAAAAGCAAAGAGATTGAATCCCATTGACACTGTTGTGAGATGTTAAGACAAACCCCTTCTTCAAGTCTGAACTGAGTAGATACTAACTAAGGAAAGGCATAGCATCAGTACCTTTATTTTCATCTATGTTCTTCCAGAACTGGAGGTCTGTAACTAAGGATAGATAACCCGGTACTTCACACCTTTCCTCCTACAACAGTTCAGAGCTGTGATGCCTAAATCCATACCTGACAGTTGTACTCTTTCCCTGACATCAGCCTTGGACTTAGTTGTAGGATGACTCTCATACTACTTCTTAAAACAGAAAATATGGGAATAAAGTTTAGCTTTGAAAGTGTATAGAGTAAATGTAATTTCATGCACTGAAGTGTTAGATACCATTCTAAACTTCTGCTGTAAGTCTAAAGATGCAAAACAACTGCTGTAACAAAAACTACTATTTCACTGGATAGCTTCATTTTGATGCAATGTTAATTGTTTTCTATCTTCAGTTACTTTTGCAGCAGTCTTGTTCATTTCTCAACTATACCATCTACTGTTGATACCAGAATCATGGTAAAGATACAAAATTTTGTAGCCACAAATTAGCATTTGGTATCACACTACTTCCCTTGGTTTAGTAAGGCAAGTTCTCTAAAACCCAAGCACAGTGTATGGATTTACTTTACATTCTGTAAAGATGACATGGGTAGAAGCGGCACAACTGATTATTTCAGAAGTATTAATGCTTGCTTGCTTGTACACCAAGAAAGCAATGGATAGAATTACAATGAAAGATTCCTCAACTAGTTTCTGCCACATGCCAACTGAAACTGATACAATTTTATAAATAAGGCTTAGCAGTATGATGGACAACTGCTGGCAATATATCATCTTCTGCTTAGGACTTGAGTATAGGCAGTAGTTACAGTGCTCAGAATACAGCAGGATTTGAGAATCATGTTTCCTTCCTCTGTTAGTCTGACAGAGCCCTCACCCTGTGGTTAGACTGCTGGTCAGCTGCATCCCTAATGAGTAGAAAATTCCTGATACACAATTGGCACATGCAAAATGTTGCATCATGCAATAGCTAAATTTAAAATACAGCTATTACATTTATAACTATCTGCAAAAATCTACAGCTTTTTACATACAATACCAACAACTTGTGCTATATGTTGGTAATGAATAGATGCAAGATAACATTTTCTACCTAGGGACTTCCTATGCCTTTCAGAAGTCATTATATTCACTTTCAGAATCTTAAATAACTTAAATTGAAAGGTTATATTACATTAACACATAAAATTATGTATAACCAGACTTTCACCTGACATTGCAGTTTTCTAGTATCACTTACCTGGTAGCAAGTATTAATCATTAATGCTATACTCAACTGCACAGTAGATTGTAAAACCTCCTTTGAGGCAAGATGCAGTAGTTTCTTTATTTAAATCACTTTTTTAGAATTACATTTATGAAAACTCAGAGGGCTGCTACAGAGGGAAAGTGTAACTGTACCCATCCTAGTATCCTTCCTGCTGCAAGTTAAGAGAAAATATTAAATAGCTTGCTTATAACACCTATTCTTCACAGATGAATATGATATTCTTGCATAAAGACAAATTGTATACTTATAACTTACTAGTTTACTATGGTGTTTATAAAAAACCCACCAAAACCAACATTCTGCTTAAAAATGTCACTTTTTGGTGTACACCATTCTCTGTAGTTTGCCCTGTAGCATTAGAAAGTTATTGCAGCTTATAAATCAGCTGTTGTCTTCATTCTACTGGAAGAGATCTGTCTTTCTTTACACTGAAGTAATTTACTTGACAACAATCCACTGAAGACTGAAGTATTCACCAGTCACATGATTCCAGTCCTGAAGTGTAATGTGCAATTCCTCTCAAGGAACACAGATAAAAACAGTTTACTTTTCAAGACTAGAAAAGTCTGGTCCTCCTTTGCTGTAATTTCCAGAAATTTCTGCCCCGCTGAAGTCAAATCCAGGGTTCTGATGGGGATAAGAAAAAAGTTAATTAGATTATTCGTAATAAAAATGTTTTTTTAAAAAAAACACTAACAAACCCAAAAAGTCCCAAACTCTTTCTGTTAATATTCTGCCACTGTAAAAAGAACATGTAATAATCAATTTGTCATCCATTTGCCATGGCGCTGAAATTCTTGGAAAATGCATCAACAAATAAATCTTGAATTGTCATAGTTTGATTGATTAGAGCTGAAGTGACTTTGTTCACCATTTTGCAGACAGTTAGAACTCCCAGTAAAGAAATGTTAAAGAAAGTTTAAGAAAAATGTCTGGCTTCTGGTGTCACCTGAAATTACTATTTGAAAATATAAGTACCTGCCATGCTGGATAACAAGTTTCATAAAAATTATGTTCTTTGTTGCAGTATGCCATGTACTGATTAAGCTGTTAAGTAGTAAATTGTAATTCTACAACTTTCCAGACATACATAGGAATAATTGTGTGCTAAAGGTGTACCAAAATAACTCAAGCAATTTTGGTAAAAGGGCAAGGAAAATATTTTCCAGCTAACTATTCTACATCATTTGATGTTATAAACAAACTGAGTAGAGCTTGATGTTACAAGTTTATTGTAAATAAGGCTATGTCATAATTCTGGATAAAACCAGAAATTGTGTGTAACCTAACCTAAGTGAAAAGTTGTTAGTATTATGCCACAAACCCTAAACCAGCAATACCCTCCCAAACTCATCTTAACTTTTCAAAAAACCTTCAGACAGACTAGAGTCAGAATAACCTCTTGAAAGTACACTGATAAAGCCTCGTGAGCACTCTTTATCTATTGAACAACAGTATATGTTTCCATTGCACTGAACAGCAGAACAATTCTGCTCAGCTTTCATGGCCATAACCTCCGAGTGCAAACACAAAATATAAGGAGTAATTATGGTCCTTTAACTTGCCTCTCTTTGGAATCGCTCCAGTGTAAGTTTCCTTTGCATCTGGTCCTGTACCCAAGGATCAGCAGCATATTCATTTTCTAACAGAGATGTCCAACAGTTTCCAGCATCTCGATTTGTCTTCATTAGAACAATTCGTATCAGCTTCCGGTCTTCTGTTGAAACAAAACAGGCATAAAAAACAACCATTAAACTCAGTCCTACATGCTGGTCTTTTCTGTTGTTTTGGTGGATTCACCATTAACAAGCACAGGATTTCTTTTGGTGAAGTAATTTAAACTCTTAACGCCAATGCCAACAGGGTTATTGATAAATAAATAAACACTAACTAGAAACAGAAAGGCTTAAGTAAAGATAACCTATACAGCCATCTCTCCCCTTCCTGGCCTGTAAAATGCTGAAGCTCTTTTAAGGGACTAAAACACAGAAACACAGTTCATGAGTACTTCTATTGCAAACATAAACTAACCTTTTAGAGAGGTTCACAAGAGAGAAAAAATTTAACTATTAATACATACAGCTCAGCTAAGGCAATAATGAAGGATTTGAGGTCAGGCTTTACAAACAATTATTGCCACTAAAAGCCAGAACTAAGTTTTAGCAACACTGGAGGTATAATCAATTTACTTAAACACAGACAATATGCCTATAGAAAATATAGTGGAAGTACATTTCAAAGTTAACATATAACTAAAGGATGTTTAGTTCTACTTAACTGAATAAATATAGAATGATAAAGTGTATTTTGAAATTATTCACATACCGGAAAAGAGTAGGTCTCACAATGTTTACACTTCTAGTTTTCATGTTTAAATTACTAAATCATTAATCAATATTTAAAATAAACACTGTATGGAAAACAAAATCCAACACAAAAACACTGAGAGGCACAGTCCATAAATACGATTTGTCAAACCCCAAAATATTCTGAACACAACATTTACAATGTAATGATCAGTGAAGCTTTTTTTGCTCCTTATCTGTAGGTACCTTAGTGTAATTTATTAAGTTGCTTTTTGATTCTCTTGGACTCTAGTTTTTGTCACCCATCCCAAAAATATAATGCACATAATGTAACCTATCACAAAAATATAATGCATAAGCAGAGAAAAAAAAACAAGTTAACAATTACAGAGAGGAACGGACCACAAAACTGGACTTTAATTGTCCAGCTTTAGTGAGGGTTTGCCATGTACTTCTCACTGTATGGGAGTGTTGGTAATCCACTCACTACCACCTTTCAAGATACAGCGTTTTTACATTAACCTTAATCTCTAGGGGTTTTGTACTACCTTGGCTCCTTAGTCTGGCAATAATGATTGTCTTTTTTACAAAACTATGTACAGGGAAGAAAGTAATCTTTCCCATTAAAACAAGGGGGTAAACTCTTTTGCAGCATATTTTCAGAAATTCTACTGCCCTCATAATGTCATTTCAGATGCAGGTTATTACCTAACGTCCACGTTCCTTCATCAGTTATTGTGGAGTCAAAAAGTTTACCCTGCAAAAGACACATACAATATTACAAAACAGCAAAACCTGTTCAGTGTCCAGTCCATATTGAATTCTCAAGTATTACTGCCAACCTACCTTCTTGTTTTCTACTGAAAATGAATGGGTGACCTGGCCCTACAAATATAGACTTGCACAGAGACTACCAAAGAAATATTTTTTGTTACAGAACCCTCATTTTTTTGTAATGAAGTATTTAATGCAGTAAAAATGTCAGTGTTTCACTATCTCACTTTATTGAAAGAGTTTGTGCTTCTCAAGAGAATAATGACATTTTTAATAGACTTGCCATGAAAATGCCAGTGTTTGTACCAAGGGTGATGTACAGCTCTGGTGCAATGTATACATGTCACACTAAAAAACCCTGTTTGTTGACAGGTAAAGTAAGTCTGCCTCTGATCTGTTTTTTTAGCTCTCGGCAGTGATGGAAGCTATGCGCTAAACTCCAGCCAAATCACTACAAGAACACAAACCCACGTGAATATATGGTCTTTATTTCCTCTACCCTCTTACAGGATCGTGCAGTTCGACAGAACCGTTTCTAATATTTTTTTTTTAATTTATCAAAATGTAGATATCTAAAGACTGAAAAAAAGAAGTTGTAGCACAACAGAGAGGTGTCTGGACCCCCTCAGGCCGCGGCGGGGCTCCCCGCGGCCCCGCCTGCCCTCCCTCAGGCGGCGGCGCCCTCCACCGCCGCCGGCCCCTTACCTGCAGCACGTCCCGGCCCCCCACGGAGAGCGCGATGTGCCGGCTCTGCAGGCCGCAGCGGACGTCCTTAGCCCGGGTACCCGGCGGCACCTGCACCTCGATGAACACCTCCTCCAAGGTCTGATACCAGCGGCCCCAGGGCGTCCCGCAGGGCACCACCCCGCTCCGCTCCTCGAAGGGAGCCGACATGGGAGACGGCGGCCGCTCCGCTCCGGCCCCCTCCCGCCCGGCCGCGCGCAGCGAGCTCTGCGCATGCGCGTGCGCCCCGCCCCGTGAGC